TTTGAGCGCACACTTGGCTAAATCTGGTTCTGGTCAAATCGTCATGTGATAATTATTATATTGATATTATAGCAAAGTTGATAATAAATTGTCTTTAGCTAAGTGATTTGATTGTTATGATTATTATTATTGGGGCGTCAACAGTTTTAGACTAACCCTTGATTGTTACCTTGACCAGTATTCATTATCATGTAAATGAACTGGCTACACGAGAATCATGATATTCATGTTGAGCCTTTTTCCATCTTCATTGGCTTTTCTTGTTCCCTCCTTTTTTAGATAATGTCAAATTGTATAATATTTGAGGGAAAAAAATGAGATATAATAACACACGAAAATTGCAACTATTCATTAATTCCAGACACTGAGCATTCACCATTTATAAATGTAATCGTCTGGCTTTCATTCACCTTCAATTGAATCAGTTTTACTTTTGAAACAAAACAATTGAACAGGCAAACTAAGACACTTGTCAAAGTTGGTTCGTAAGGGAAGGTCATTTGTTTCAACTGTGGTCAAATGATTCTCAATGGATTCCCTTCTTGGTCAGTTTGTAACACAATTTGTTGTTGTCCAAAAACTTGCAAGGTAACGATTTTGACAGGATAGTGTTCAAAGATACAAACAGGCAAAATTGTACTTTTCATTATTGTAAGGAAAGGGAAAAGTTTTTACTTGCATTTGCTCACAGGCAAAGTCAAATGTTGAACAGGAGACAAAAAGAGCGATAAAAATGAGTAAAAATGATGAAAAGAATCATTGGTTCAGTTTTTCTTGCTCTCATCTTTCAGCTTTCATATTCAATGAATCATATACAGTTTTGTCTGATGATGCCATTCATTTATCATGAAAAGAATGGAACAAGAAGGAGAGAGAAAAAGATAAAATAATTGAGAGTTGGATGAAGTCGAAGATGAAAAGAGATGATGAAAAGAAGAAGAAAAGCTCAATTTGAGAGGAAAGAATGGAAAAATGTGGATGAGAATCAATTTAATAATGATAATAATAGTCGTAACCATCACAACTATTGCTATTATTATTAGCAAAATGGACTAGGTCAGATGAAGAAGGTTTAACGATGCAAAAAAAAGAGAAGCTGAAAATTGGATAAAGCAAAGGATATGACATAAATTGGACTCCCTGAAGAGAGTTAAGATGGATGAATTAAGATTCACTCCAAGATAACTGGGAGTGATAAGACTCTGGGAGTGAATAGTGAGGAAACATTTAAACTCAACATTTGATGTTGAATTGCAAAAGTTGAACCAAGACTCATATGGATACAAATGGCCTTCAAAAAGTTTCAACTTTGTTCATCTTGAAAGAGTAAAGATGAAAAGGGATAATAACAAGGAGTGAAAGTAAGTGATAATATCTTGACATTAGTTTCGTCTTCATTCATGACTGTCTTTCGTTACCTTCAATAGTTACTCCATCAAGTCATGATGACGATATGATGATGATGATGATGAAAAGGTTTTTCCGTTTGAGATTTGCAGCAAAAGCTTTTACCAATAAAATTTGAAGGAAAAGTTGAAAAGTGATGAACAAAAAAAGTGAATTTTCGTTGGAAGCAAAAAATGAATCTTCTTCTTTTTTTTGCTTCTTCTCCTTTCATTCTGTCTTTCTGTCAATTGAACTTTTTTTTGCACTTTACTGAGTAATCTCAAGTCATGTGTGATAAGTTAGCTTTAATCCATTAGATCAAAACTGGGAGTTTTTTCCCTCTTCATCACCAACACTTTGAATGCTTGGTGTGGCTTGCAAGGTTTGTGCTTATAGTTTTTTACTCGACTTGCTCATCTGGGAGTGAAAAATATTGTTTCAACTGTTCAAAAAGGTTTAAATGATTGTTTGTCGACCAAGCCAAAAAAAGGTCATCATGATTCACAAGAGGGAGAATGATGGTGATGATGGTTGAAACTATGGGAGGTTATGAAAAATGCTGAGCTTTTTTACTGTTATTGTCGTTACAATCATGTTGACTCTTTTGGCTCTTCTTGTATTAATAAAAAAAATTGGAGCAAAAAATTGAAGCTCAGTTGGGAGTTAAATATATCGTCATCTTGTTCATTTTTTTGTGCAACGTTTAAAACTTGGTCCTTTCTTAATCACCAAAACTAACCGTAAACATTAATTTTTATTAATATAAAACGAATGTCTCTTTTCATAGTCCAACCACTCGCATCATTATCATCATGTCATTTGTTACCCTAAACTGGGAGTCAACTGGGAATGTTGAAGTTTAAGGGAAGCAGATAAATATATTTATACTCGAGTTAATAGCGCACTGTTGTTTAATGTATATAATCAGGGTCATGCTAAGAAGTTGAGATTGGAATGAAAGCCGATTAAGGTTGTGAATAACTCTCCATCCACAGGCAAGTAAACTGCAAGCTGATGTTAAAAATTATAAGTTTAAAGCAAAATTACTTAAATTACTTTTGTTAAAAAAATTGACTAAAAATGAAATAATATGAGTCTCGATAAATCGAGAAAAACTGAATTTCTCAATTTTTATGAATCATTGACAAGGATAGGTTAGTTTTACCCTGAGTACGAGAGCCACCGCAGGTTCAGGCAGAAGGAAAATGTGACTGCTCGACTGAATCGCCTGACTTATGACTGCTTCTAAGTCAGAATCCCGTCATTATATGGTAATATCGTTAAGTACTCGGTGTGACTGTAGGTAGGTTGATCGGTGAATCGATGAATATTTGTAAATATTTTTCCCTTTTTGTCGGAGTGCTAGCAAATTCAGCTGAAATCATGATTTTCTCTGTTTCATTGAGCAAAATTGGATTTAAAAGTTTTCACAAGGTGTATTCAAAGGTCGCATGAAGAGTTGATGAAATTTCAAAAAACTGAGTCAACTTAAAGAACTACAACAAAAGCGGGACCAAAATTGACTGTAAAATAAAGAGTCTATCGATCAATCATGTCCAGCATTTAATATGCACAGAATATGCAATAACGTTGACAGTTTTATAACTTTAAAATTTTCCAAATGCTTCTTGCATTTTCACTAACACTTGCCCATTCCCAGATCCAAAGCACTTGATCAACAAGATAAGAGACTGGGAAGCTTTTCCCTCCCAGTCAATCACTTGATAGCAACAATGCGACTTAAAACTCATGTATTTGAAAATGAAATTTCAATAAAAGCTCAGAAACCAATAAATATCAATATTGTGTAACATGTTAATATCAATGTTTACCTGTTTTAGTTGATAACATTTTTGATTAATTTACAAAGGTAACTCAATATGATGTCGAGATTATTTACTCGCTATAAATGAAAAGTAAAATATTACTGTTTAGAGTTATCATTCACTTGATTATCTGATATTAATTTACGTCAACTCTCATATTTTCATCTCAAGAAGCAACACAAAGATTTATCACTCCAAGAGCATGAATCAATAAAAATAGCAATGCTAATAGTGATGATATTTTGTGAGGTTTGTGTGCTTTTGGCTCATAGATATTGTGCTAAAAGGATTATGAAACTTTTCTTGTTACCTTGAAACAAAGTTGAATGTTGATTCAAACAAGAATTTCATTTCCATCATAAATGGTGATAGACATTTTATGCAAAGATAATTGATTGGTGTTGAACGAAACAAAGCTCAAACAAACAAGGATGAGAAAAGTTTTCTTGAAATGTTGATAATAATAATGATATATTAATCTGTATTGTGAAAGGTTCAGGTAAGTGTTCAGTGAGCACAAAATTGAAACACTTTTTTGCTTCTCTCATGAAATGATATCAACTTTTTTTTATTGTTGATATTTTGCTTCTTTTTTCCTTTTTTACTTCATGATGAACAAACATGAAACATTAACGCTTTATTCAAGGCTATCGTTTTGTTATAATAACGGTAATAAAAAAAACAATTGTTATACATTGTTATCATGATGATTGGATGAACAAAAGCAAACAATTGAATTCAATTGTTTCACACAAATCATTCAGCAAATGTTACTCGTGTTACTAGCCTTAACCTTGTGTAAACTGTTATCATTTTCTGTTTTCTGTCCACCAAATTGTGGATTCACTGGGAGTTCAACAACAGTTTCAGATATTACAATTGATATCAACTTTCCTTTGATTACATTTACCAAACTTTTCCCATTAAAATCACTTCTAAATGAAACGAAACCAGAAAATACTTTGCTTGGTTCGAGTTTAGATATTTTCAAGAAAAGTTGGACAAATGAAGTCCTCTTCTGAATCAGTCTGGCCACAAAGAAACTGACAGAACTTTTACTTTATATAGCTTTTGGAAACGAAAAGTCAATTTATTTTTAGAAGAAAATAATCGAAAAGTGTCTATCATGTTTCGGAAAAATTCATTCAAAGAGGAAAAAATCTACTCGGAGTTCAAAAAGACATCTGACGATTTTTTCGCTGTGCATTTTCGAATGGGTTTAAAAATGTTATCTATTCGAAGTCGAAATTAAAACGTAGCGAGGATAACTTGATTCACCAGAATTCCGTCAGTTCTGACATGAACGTATAGAACTGTAAAATATGTTTGACACCTTAATATTTCAGTTCTCAACAGAAATAAATGAATAAGAAAATTCGAAGCTGAACAAGAACTTAAATATTACGATTTTTTTCGCTGTCCCAACTTTGCAACTTAAGCTTTCGTCCAATATAAGTTTCTATTTTGGGATTCCTGAAGTTCTTGAAAATTTGTTTGCCCTTGCGACAATGTAAGAGATGAATGATTATCTTTCTGATTTTTCCTTCAACAGTTCTTAGAATCTTTCGTTGAGCTGTTCAATGCACACATCGCAAAACTCAGATTCTGTATTCTTTTTCCTTTCGTCTAAGGATTTGATAAGTTTCTTTCTGAGGTTCCAAAGAGGTATTCTCATTTTTTCGGCTCCAAAAGCAGACAAATAAGTTTTCAGAAGTTCAGATGCTGTTCTAAAAATTGGTTTGATCATTTGATACTTATGAACTTTACATGAAAGTGAGCTTTTCTTACCTTCATATCAAGATTAATGTTTTCCTGTTGCTTATTGTTAACTATGTCGAACCCGTAAACCAGAAGAATGTAAATTATCGAAGAGAATCAATTTCCAACTTGAGTAATTTTTGTTTCATCGTCAGTCGCCAGTGAACATTAAAGTTGACTAAAATTTTCTATTGCATAGAGAAATGAGGGAAAAAAAGGAAATGAAAAGTTAATTAGTTAAATGAGAATAGAGAGGAAAACTATTGATCCAATTTAATTGTGTGTGATTAAAATGGATGAAAATTTGAGTCCAGATTAATAGCAACATGATATCATCATTGAACCATTATCATACGTCAACCTAATTCTGAGTTTTCATTTTTTCCTTTTTTCTGTTTCATTCTGTACTTCAATTTGGACGTGACTTTGTTCAACAATTGAACTCAGCTCAGATCAAGTCAAATTACCAATTAAAGTCAAGTTAAATTATATTAAACAACCAGACAGAATCAATATCCATCAACCAGAATTGCAAGAGAAGACAAAAAGAGCGAAAAAAGTGAAACTTTAATCAAAGATAATCAGGTAATTCGACGTTTCATCGATTGTGACTATTGATCAAACAATGGATTTTTGAAAAGTCGACAGTCAAAATTGAATATCATTTTCAGCAGATATTCACAGAGAAGAATAATGATGTTCCAGTATAATCTTGCATGATACTCTGAGTTTGAAAACATTTGCTTGTTGAAACATTTTTCAATTTGGTTTGAGTTCAATGAAGTGCAAAAACAATTTGTTGCCTTCAAAATGCTCGACGCAAATTGTGATCCAAAAATGAATCGAATCTCGACTTTATCCTTGATCATTATAAACTCAACTTCAGTTCTGTCAACTGATGTTCAATTTTTCATTATAAAAGTTGAATCTGTGATAATCTTTGATGTCTTCATCATGATCATCATTCACTTGCTATTGGAATGAAAATTGAATTTCATCAAATGCAATCATTTTGTCAGAAAATGAAATGAAAAATGGATTTTCATTGGCGAATTATTGTCATTTGATTGAGTTTCAGTGTAATTGATCCACTGATTTTGGTCAAAAGATTACCGACTAAATCTGGTCAGTTTCATGGGATCAAAATGTTGCAGCATTTCATCGTAACTCAAGTTTCCTTAGAACTTCAAGTTGACCGCAAATTCGGTTAATTCAAATTTATATTCTTCTCTATTCATCATGAACTTTGCAAATGTTTTTGATGAAATTTCTCAACTGATTAGGAATTGCAAGAAATATTGCCTCAAATAAAACATTGTGTGACTTGAATGGTAAATTTTTGCTCGAAATTGTAAATTGCATTTTCTTTCTTTACATATTTCGAGTTTTCAAAATTTCAATAATGAAACTTTCTTATTATGAAAGGAAAAGTTAATAAAATTTCAATTGGTAATCAAATAAATTTCAATTTCCATTTGGTTTTAGCAAGAAAAGACGATGAAAATAATGAATATCACTTCGATTGGAACAAAGAAATTTTAAATAACCAGAAACAATTCAATTTGTTCATTAATATGAAAATTTTAAGAATCTATTAAATCTTATTGAATAACAACTAAACTAAAGACTCCAAGTTAACGTACTTTATGCTGATTAAACTTGCATAGACTAAAGTCAAGTTATAACTCAAGAAATTAAAATTGTCATTCAATGAAAACTTCATCTTAGTACTCAAAGTCAGACATGAAATAACATCACTTTGAATCGGCAATGAGAACTGAAAATTAGTCTATTAAATGCAGTACGAGTTATACTCATCAGTAAATATAGTAAAGCATGATGTTGGAAACTTTCTTACCAAACACTTCAATCATCAATCAAAATATTTATCCTTCAGTTGAGTTTGAATAAGATTGAAAAGTTAATTTTTTAGGTTTTCTGGTAAACAATTTGGTTCTTTTTCATGGATTTAAATTGATCACAATCTCCAGTCTGGATAATTTGTGTAACCATTTATATCAAAAATATAAGCTTTTCAAATGCGTTTAACTTTCTTAATAATTCCTAGTTAATTATTTAAGATCATTTCAATTTTCATGCTTTTTTAAGCCTTTGAGGTTGAACACTTGACAATATTTCGAGATGCAAAATGGATCCTTATTTGGTATTTGAACTTAGAGGCTTTGAACATTTACTGTTTTAGTTTGAGCGAAAGATTTAAACAATAATAAATTTGAATTTGAAATGCATTGATTCGATATTGAAATTTGGGTTCATCTTTTCTTGACATATAATGTTCACTTTAACCTAAATATTGTCAATTTTGTTTGTACTTTTTTTCAATGGCTTTTACATGATTCTGATGAAAGACAATTTTGATCGTTCTTAATGGTTTTGTGTTAAGGTGAGATTATTTTGCTCAGCATTTCATTTACTTTTCTCAATTTAAATGGCCTTCCATTAAAACCATTATTTTATTTGCAATACAAAAGGTTCATTTTAATTTTAAAATGCAAAGAAGAAGACGAAGAATTGTCTTTGGAATGAACATGTAAATGATACAAAGGTTAACATTGATAATCGATAGAATACATTTAAATTTTCATGATAATGGAACGATATTAATTTTCAATGATTTCCCGATTCCATGCAATATCTAATGTAATATAAAAGCCATTCAAGTTTAACCCAAAATCCTTTTCTGGTTCAATACAATTACCGCATAAGTTGGCCAATAAGTTTATCAATGTTTCAATGACATTTGCGAGGTTCTTTGTGCCTTCTCAGTGTTCCTGCTGTTATCAGCATTTATTACATTATCCTGTTATAAAATGTTGAGATGAATGTTGATATATTTATAGCCTATCAAAGTGTCACACTGTAGCTTCATGTTGTACCTTTAATTAGGTTTGACAATGTAAGCCGAGAGGAAGCAAGAAAAAATGGATTTTTACTTTTAATTTATGGTTTCTTGCCAGGTTGACGTGAATGGTATAACAATAATAGTAATGGTGAAAATGGTAATAATACCACAACAAAAGAACACACAAAATATGCAAGATAATTAGCAGATAATGTTTCATTGTTACCATTATTGTTATTAATAAATGATTGTTAATAGTTGCGATTCTCTTCATTAAAGCAACTAATGTCAAGTTTGACAAAAAACAAGACCAATAATGAATCCAAGTTATTGCAATTCAGTCAAGATCATCTTTATTCGTGAGACGGAATCAAAACAAATCAGAAAAGGTCAATCGTCATGAAATGAGATGAGAATCCCAATCATCTATTTTTAGTCTAAAACTGTCGATATAAATTGATGAATGGATTCAAGTCAATTCAAGTTGTCAACCTTTACATTTGCGTCAATTTTTCGGATTATTTTGTTAAAAACTAAACATTTGTTTCAAATCAAAGGAATCAATGATTAATCTTTAACTTTTACATTATTTTGTTGTCTTGAAAACTGCTTGGAGTGAAGAAAGGAATGATTTAACGATTAATTTGACCAATCAATCAAAGACTGATCACTGATATGAATTTCAAGCTTGTTTTGCTTGGATTTTGGATTAATGGGAATCTTGTTTCATCAATTTTGTTCAATGTTTTTTGATCAGAAAATCGATAATTATTAATTTAAATCCAGGCTAAGAAACCTTAGCATTTGGTTGAGCAACTAATTGTTTACCTTTTTATTGTTGATCTAAAGTTAATTTAGTTTATAACTGCAATAATAATAAAAACATTTCTATGTTTTTCAATGAAACTGCAAATATTTTCTCTCTTTAATCTAATAGACTTTATTTTTGATTATCATATTAATAGTATGATTATCATTAGAATGGTAAAGTAAATGACTTTCCTTCCCTTTCCTTTTGCTCTTTGAATATTAGTATTTCTTGCTGATTATTTCACTCTTTACTTTTGCTTGAAATCACATGAAAACTTTTATCCCTTTTGATAACCATTTATATTTATAAATCAAATGTTAAACTTAGTTTTAACTTAAGTGGGTTTACTTGTTAACTAAATGATGAACGATAGTTATCACTTCAACATATCATTTAAAATAACAAAAACATTCCTCACTTGCAGGGAGTGATTGTTATGCTTAATAATTATGAAAGCAGTTACTTAGTTTCACTCCATTTCACCATGGTTGTTTAACAATAGTCAAAGGTAAAGTGTGATTCAGTTTGACTACGATTTTAACCTTCATCTTGCTAAACCGGGTTCATCTTAATCACCAATAACAGCTTGTTTTGAGGCATCTTAATGTCGATGAATATTGAATGGAATCAATTGGTCAGATTAGGTTCAATTTGGGTTTCATGTTGATCAAGTTGATTGAGGTTGAAATGGTTAATGAGTGTTAAACGAAAAGGAACAAAAAGTTTAGTTTAAAAAGCATTTTTTTTCTCTGGTAAACACTGAAGTTCTCATCAGAATAATGTTTCCTATTTTGGTTATTTGATAGTTGATATAAAGCAATGATGATGTTGATGATTATGATGATGATACTGAATCAATCGATTGAAATGTTGTTACAATCTCAGTTGAATTACATGAGAATCTTTTTTCTTTTCTTTTCTTTCGCCTTCCTTCTTAACCATCATGACTATTGATTCAGGTAATATAAGATTGGGAATTAAGCAGAAGAGTGGAGAACAAAATGGAAAGGAAATGTTGTTTCACTCCTCAAGATTCATGATTATTCTGTTGTACCGACTGATGATGTGCTTAAAATGATAATCTAAAACAATAACCATTCAATTTTCAGTTAACTTTCATTTTTACCCAAACGTTAATCACAATCTGAATCAACATTGAAAAGGTTTTTTGTTTTTGTTCCTTGTTTCATGCTTTACCTTTATGATGCTACAGAAAAGCAAAACATGAAACAATTTAACCTGATGATGATAATAACGATGCTGAAACGAGTCTTCAATTTTCAACTCATTTCACCGTTAATGGACTTTCAACTTGGAACAGATTATTTTGCTTCGCTTCAATTTCACCTTCAACTTTTTTTCATCAATTGACAATCAATTATTGGTAAAGTTGTTTCATTGGTAATCATCAATTCAGTTGACTTAGTCAATTGTTTTGTACTTTGTCCGTCTTGGGCATTATTGGCATCATATTAGATACAATTTTTCATCTAAAATCCAAGTATAACAACAAT